TTTTTCAGTTCTCATTATTTTCTCGATAATTCTATGAGTAACTGGATGTATTTTTCAGTTCTCATTATTTTCTCGATAATTCTATGAGTAACTGGATGTATCTGTCAGTTCTCGTTATTTTCTCGATAATTCTATGAGTAACTGGATGTATCTGTCAGTTCTCGTTATTTTCTCGACGATTCTATGAGTAACTGGGTGTATTTTCTCGAATCATTGTTCTTTTTAGCTTTGATCCGACTTCGAACTAGTAATTTAACGACAATTTATTAATTCTTACATAGCGGCATAGGAAGTGTTGGGAGGGGGACAGCTCCCACCTCACTTTTCAATCTCCCCCAGTAAAAATTCATGAAAATTAGGAAAATTACTCTCAGGAAAAGCAGGGGAATTCATAAAATGAAATACAGAACCGAAAATTCGATGACAAGGAACCCACTTTGAGACTAATAATGGTTGGAGACAGCTTGAATGGGTAATGAAAAAAAAAACAACTTTAATATAAGTTTGACATAACAGCAAATGTACAACGTTTTAACAAGGTTTTGTCATCATCAGAACCGAAATGCTTCCAGGGCTCTAAGGCGAGCCCTGGTCAAATAAACCTCCCCCCACAACCCCCCCCCCCACAACCAACCACTCTTAATTTAAAGACGCTGATGTTTTTTTTAGGTTTACTGGATGTCGTTCTATTCAGAAACCGAGGCCTATCTTTCTTTGTTATTATTTATTTATACATCTTCGTGAGGTAGATTCTTGTTTTAAACGTGATTGGTTCCTCTAGTCTGGTTGGACTCTATTATTAACGGACTTACCATTAAACACCGAATAAGGTTCATAAAGTGGTGTCATGGTGTTTAATGGTAAGTTCGTTAAATAAATTAGGTTCTAAGAAGGATTCATTAAAGTAAATATCTTTTCCTTTACAATTAACTTTTTGATCTTTTTATATCATCTTATTGGAAGAATAATTAAAATCACGTGTTCGTGAGGATAACAGTTTCAGGTCCTTTTCTAAACGTAATTAACAAACGCAACCAATCCAAGACCACTTCATTGACAATTAATGAAATATAAACCGTTGTGACGTATGAGCGAGGTTTCTGTGGTAACAGAGGTGGACCAGTAACTTGTAATAAATTTATCCCGCCTATTTGGTGTAGTTGCTATGGAAACCTGGTAGCACAGTCTACAGTTTACGAATTTCATTTGAATATACAATAATTAAATTGTTCATATTTCCACTAACTGTTTTGGAATGAAACATTTTATTCCATGCAAAGCCCAATATTGTGGGAAATACTTAGAATTTATTAATAACCCTTTATAGCCAGGCATGGCTTAGTGATTAGCGTGCTAAATTGTGAATTTGAAGGTCCAAGGTTCGAGGCGCGATGGTGTTGAACATGCTCCGTACTTTCAGCTGTGGATGGCGTCATAAGTGTGACAGTCATCCCTGCTAGTTGACCAAGAATAGCAGTAACGGTAGAGAGTGCTGGTGAATAGATAAATTTAGGGTGGCTATGGCTGAGTCTTGAGGTCTCTGACATGACCGTTTAGTCCACGTATCGCGTAAGGTATGCCATTTAGGATGAAAAGGGCACATAGAAAATTAATTTTCTTTTTTGTCAGAACCATTCATTAAATTAAGGTTTACAGTTGATGGAAATTATTATATTGAAAATCCTAGCACGTCGCAGTTCGCTATTAGTTGTATCGAACATCTGGTTTTCGATTATATTTCAATTGTAATTTAATATTTGGTATTTTCAACGTGTATGAGATCTTATGCGACACGTGGATTAAACGGGGAGTTCAAATATTTCCAAGGTTCAAGCCCAGCTGACCAAAAGGAGGGCAACCACATAGTAGCATCTGCTGTCTACGTGGTTATTCTTAACCGAACATCTGGACTAACTGAAGATGAAGAGCTTACCCAAGGACATACCTTCAATTTGATATATAACAGTATGCGTTCTGTTTGTCTTTAAATAGAGGCAACCTGGGTATATCAACAATCACCTCTATAACATCATACGCTAAACAACTCGAGAGAATTTACAACATTACAAATGTAGGCAGAACCGGCTTCTAGTACCGTGTTTACTAATAATTTCGGGCATTTAGCTCCACCTCTGTGACGTCATCACTTAGATTATGCTAAAAGAAAATAAGAAGTTTCATGGGTGATCAAATGTTCGAACAATAAATAAAAACGAATCATCAGTTAACAAAAGTTGATCGCAAGTGTTTCATAATTTCCGAAACGTGCGTTATACGTCCGAGTAATCTATCGTCATTCGGTTATCCATCCAACGATTAAGATACAATGTAATTAACTCAAAAATTGGAATAAGAAACGTGTCGTTTAACACATCCAATATTGTGACCAGTATAAGACTGTAGTTTTGAGCTTTGTCAGATCTGATTAGTCCAGCTAGGTCGATGATATGGCTGATTGACCAATCCCATATTGTGACCAGTTGAGGACTGTAGTTTGGAGCTTTATTAACTTTCACCAGTCCAGTTAAGTTGAGAGATAAGGCCCCATGTTGTAACCAATTGAGGGCTGTAGTTTGGAGCTTTATCAACTCTAACCAGTCCAACTAGGTATATCTATGATAGGATTGGTTGACCAAGCCCATGTTGTGACCAGTTGAGGACTGTGGTTTGAAGTTTAATCAACTCTAACCAGTCCAACTAGGTATATCTATGATAGGATTGGTTGACCAATCCCATGTTGTGACCAGTTGAGGACTGTAGTTTTGAGCTTTATCAACTCTCACCTGTCCAGCTAGGTATATCTATGATAGGATTGGCTGACCAATCCCATGTTGTGACCAGTCGAGGACTGTAGTTTGAAGTTTAATCAACTCTCACCAGTCCAACTAGGTATATCTATGATAGGATTGGTTGACCAATCCCATGTTGTGACCAGTTGAGGACTGTAGTTTCGAGCTTTATCAACTCTCACCAGTCCAGCTAGGTATATCTATGATAGGACTGGTTGACCAATCCCATGTTGTGACCAGTCGAGGACTGTAGTTTCGAGCTTTATCAACTCTCACCAGTCCAGCTAGGTATATCTATGATAGGACTGGTTGACCAATCCCATGTTGTGACCAGTCGAGGACTGTAGTTTCGAGCTTTATCGACTCTCACCAGTCCAGCTAGGTCTACGATAGGACTGGTTGACCAATTCCATGTTGTGACCAGATGAGAACTATAGTTTGGAGCTTTGTCGGGTATTAGTAGTACAACTAATTCCACGATAGGGAGCTTGTTCCAATCAGTTTTAGCCAGGAAATAGCTTGATAAAAATTATACATTTATTACATATCCATATTAAAAGAAAGTTTGAAGCTCTCGAAATCTAGTTTAACACTCTGTTTAATTATTCAGTTACTTACTCGTTACTGCAATAATAGCCATATTTCTCCAAGGATTATAACATTTTAAACGATAACTACTTTAGAGATAAAAAAAATTACCTCAAATGTTAAAGCACCTCCGTGGCTTAGCTGCTTAAAAGTGCTGAAGACGTAGTGAGCATATCGAGTTGCATCTGCGGAACAAGAAATAAATTGAACCATATATTTCTTTACAGTTTTACAAAAATAAATTACTATTTTTCACTTTAAAACATATTTCTTACACATTATAAAAAATTAACAAGCAGTTTTCAGTTTAATTAATTAAATGTTTTTATTAGCTAAAGAAAATTAAACTGGCAATTAATTTTTCAGTTCTTAATCGTATAATCTTCTTAAAAGTTAAAAACAACTGAAAGATATTTAAGAATATACAAAGCCTCTGACAGTGTGCTAATAAAATTCAATGTTATACAGGACGAAAGGCGACTACCAACAATATGCTAATCAGATGCAATTTGTAATACTAGCAGCAAAGCCGACCGTTGGTTTGTTTGTTTGTTTTGAATTTCGCGCAGAGCTACACGAGGGCTATCTGCGCTAGCCGTCCCTAATTTAGCAGTGTAAGACTAGAGGGAAGGCAGGTAGTCATCACCACCCACCGCCAACTCTTGGGCTCCTCTTTTTACCAACG